AATTCACGTGCTTCTTGTTCATAATATCATAAGCAACAATTGATATCGTTTTGACATGAATCACATGCTCAGAATGATGATTATGAAGCGGGTGCACTGAGTGCACCCAAAAAAGTGGGTGCGCCGAATACGCCACCATATATATATATATATATATATATATATATATATATATATATAATTAATGTTGGGCCATATATATATAAACCCTTCCCCGTCACTTTTATTCCATCATCATCTTTCCTTTTCTAATTTCCGAACCGAGAGATACAGAGCAAGCGGAAGAGTTCAGGGGAACGTCGGGGGAAAATTCCCAAGCTCAATTCTTGAGTTTTAGTGATCCAAAAATCCTGTAAGTAATGCCTAATTCATCTATTCATCGTGATTTATCGATTTAGGGCTTTAAAACGAGTTTTTGGATCAAATTAGGGTTTCGGAGTATCCGGAAGCCGGATTGAGCCCAAATTTCATATACGAGCTTCCTGCAACAAGGTAATCAATCCTCTAGTTCTAATCCCTGAATTTCGGCAATTATTTAGGTCGGGGTCCAAATCGCTGAATTTAGCTCCGGCCAAGGTTTGATGTGTTTTTATCGAGAATTTGACCCGGAGCCTAGAACTAATATTGACGGGGATACTGCAGGCAATATTAGGACGGTCTCGGATTTTAATTCGGGGTTCGTTCCTGAAATCGACGTTTTAGTACGGGAAGGTTAAACCGGTGTTTGAACGACCAGAACTGGTGAGGGATTAGCACGGCATACCGGGTTTGTCGTATCACGATAATTATGTTGATGCTTAGAATTGACCTAGGTGAACTAGAATGGCATGACTAGGGGTGTATGAACTTTTGTGCTATATGTTGAACCCTGGATTGTTGTATGATATTATTGACTTGCCTTAATCGATATGAACCTTGTTTATGCTGATGATTGTGTATATGTTGCAAATTGTGGGCTTGACTGTTAATATGCTTTACGATGGTTCGAGAAGGTGATTAGGTATGATTTTTCATGATTGTTGTATTTGGATGCACAAGTTGGAAAATATATATTCCCTGGTGATATTATGATGTTTAAGGAGGATGACTTGCACGAGGGTTTATCCCGAGGAAGTGCAATTATACGACTCCTGATTTACCTATGTTGAGCCAATTATGGCCAGGTCAAGTACATGTGCAAGTAATGAATTATGATTAAGTAAGATGAGATATGAATCATGTATAAGGATACCAAATATGAGTGTTGTGGTCTCACGGTCAACTACATAGTAATTAGGGCTCCCTATGCTATTACTCTATTATGATATGTATGATAGTCACACCTCTCATGTGGTGGTGACTGAAGAATTCTTACGAGATATGACCACACCCAGATCGGTGTCGGGGTATGACTACACCCATAGTGGTGTGGGGTATGTATGACCACATCCGACGGGATGTTGGGGTATGTATGACTACATCCGACGGGATGTGGGGTATGTTTCCCGGGAGAATTATTAGCATGGGAGTAGCCAGACGCCTATAAGTAAAACATGATAAGATGCATATACATAAGTCAAGATGGTTGAGTCTTTTGCCTATTGGGATGTCGGATGGCTGAGGTCTGATCCTAGTGCTTGGGCTTATTTGCTAGATGTATGGTAGGGGTATGCTCTGTTATGAACTCACGATGCTATGATTATCTCACTCAGCTATGAGCTGACCCTTTTTTATCCCTTTTCTCTACTTATGCCATGTGTAAGCAGATCATCATCATCAGCAGCAGTAGATAGGTGTATAGGTGGGAGCTGAGCAAGAGTTGAAGGCAAGATGAGGTATGGTCTTCAACTATTCTGTGCTTGGACTACTACTCGGGATTTTGGCCAGTGATCCACACCTTTTTGTAAAATGTTTTGAGAACGTTTTTCATGTGCATACTAGCTTCTGATGTAGTGTGAGATATCCACAGGTGTGGAAAGTTGATGATATGTGTATATTTGTGTAATTATGTAAGTTCTGACGATTATGGCATGTATCAGTATAGTATGCAGTTGTGTAACATGAAACGGTGACTATGGCTATGAAAAGCCAATGCATATGGCAGTGAGTGTATATGTTTGTCTATGAATGCATGGATTTAGATGAATTATTTTGCAGGATTAGATGGAAGAACTGTTAGCCCATTACGCGAGTAATTCATGTCGAAATTTTATTTGGGTAAATTTTGATAATTAATGTAACACCCGAGATTATTTCCTCTGCAATTGTATGAACAATATGATTAGGTAATACGTATAGGGTAGGGTGTTACAGTTTTCAACTCCATTGCAAAGTGGGTTGTACAAATTGTTGAGGGTGCCGATGTCTCTTTCTTCTTGATAAGTGACAACCTAGTTCTCTTGGCAATGGAAATGACACCTCTCTTTGACAATTAGGTACATTTTCTTGTACGAGAAGATAACAAAATCGGAATTCAAACCATCATTGACAAAGGTAATTGCAAAGTGCTTGCTAACAAGAAGAATCTCCATGCAATGGAGCTAATGTTTTCTAATTGACCAGACTTATAGAATTGTTTGCACTCTGTCAGCAGGAACCAGTTCATGAAGTAATATTGAAGTCTCGAGGGAGTTCAAGGAACAAACTTTTTCCATAACTTTCTAGTCAACCATATATATCCACGATTGAACTTATGGATAGGGTTGTGCAAGGAAATTGATTAGTCGATAAACTTCATTTCCAATCAATTGAGGTTTCATGTGAAACAGGTGCTCTCGGTTTATCGTAGGGCCAACATGCTCTTTATGATGTGCTGAGCTGGTCTTTGTCTATGATTTGTTTGTAAGAGGCTGATTGCCAATATTACTGCAATGGAGAGTAGCATATGTTACTGTCAAGTGCAGACAACCTTGTGCTAATTGCTTGTACTCTCAGACCATTTGCATCGAATTCAACCCAAGGTTGGGTTAGTTTGGCATCAAAACTATTGTTTATGCGTTGGGAAGTAATTTCGACAAAACGACACATGTATTTGTACCAGCAAATCAATTAAATTCATCCGAGGGCGACTTTAATTTAGTAAAAGTGACTGAGCCTTAGGCTAAGTCACCTGATATTGTCAGGATGAAGACCAAGGTTTTCCACTAGATCAATACCAACAATTAGTAACCATGTGAGTTCATTCCGCCAGTTGCAGACTTGTAGTGCCAGAAATAAGATTTATAGGTGAAGAACAACAATGATGCCGAAACAAAGAGTGACGTATGAGTTAGTCTCCGGTTTTCCAATTACTTAAAATGTCTCGAGGTTCAAGAATTGTAGAACATGATGAAGTGCATGGTTTTCTCCTGGTCTTTGTGAAGTCGTCTGCTTTCTTCATCATTAATTCTCACCCCATCTTTCCATCCCCTTCCATGAGAAACTACAAGAACGGAATTCCCAGTTTCATAAAAATGAAACGCACGACTACTGTCAAAAGTAAGGAACCAAGGTTGCTTTTTCTTCTTTGACCTACACTCCAATGGTTGAGTTCACCCTCACTCTGCTTGTGCTCCTTCCAAGCATGAGGTTGAGCTTCTCTTTTTGGTAATTACACCACTTTGAGGTCAATGATCTATTGGGATGAATCTCATCCATTTATCTACAATTTTCCTTCCCTCCCTTTTCCCTCTATGCTTTCATTTTGTGTAATAATCCTCACTTAAAAAGAACCAGATAAATTAGGACTCATCAAACACAATTTTCCTCCTTCAATGTTGCTCTTCCAAAAAAAAGAAACAGGTATCTATCTTTGACCTCTTTATTCACTTTTTCTTCGTATTTGATTTTATATCCTTCCCCATTTCCCTCGCTCGGATTCAAACAAAAAGACAGTGAAGAGCTATATACCACTCGTCGCGAAGCGCAAGCGAGCGAGTATAACTTGCACGAAACGAACTTCTTTGTCCGTATTTGGTTTTTACCCCGTTATTTATTTCTTTTTTGCTTGAACTCGAATAAGAAAACAACTGAAAAATTTCATATTCTCTATGAAGAGAACACAAGTGTCATCCGAACCAACGAAACGAACTTCTTTGTTCGTATTTGGTTTGCCCCATTATTTATCTCTTTAGCGATTTGATAGATCCGAGTACACGTACCCGCAAGGTGGGACAACGGAGTCGCAACAGTAGCAATCATTGAACAAGAGGATCACATTGATGATTTTCAAAATGTGTTTGTTGTTCTCTAATCGATACTTTCGGCCAACGAGTCCTTTTTTTTTGTTTCACCTTATTGCAAATTGTATTTTATCGATTCTTATTTAGATGTTTAGATGCTACTATTCATCAAATGAGAGATAGGCCTGCATTTTTTGGGTTTGTATTTTTACAAATTATCGCTGCCATTGTGCGGTCATCGTTCATTAGGTATTGCATAAAGAGAAGAGGAAGAAAGAGAGGAGGAAGAAAGAGAGGAGAGCTAGACGGTCGGCGAAGAACAAGGAGATAAGAAAGAGAGAAATACGAGAGAAACATAGATGATCGAAGAAGAAAAAGAAAGTCACGCCAGAGAAAGATTTCGTCGGGCAAAGGTGTTATAGCTCCGGCCACAAATTCGCAGCCCTTAGATATTGTTTCGATTCCATACTTCAATAAGTTTTGCCTCTTCAACTAATAGTAAGATACGATATCAGAATAACGAGGAAGAGAATGCACCTCTCTGTCTGACCATTTTGTTATAAACTAAAAAGTTTTGTGACCAGCTTGTACATGTTTTAAAAGTGGTGCACATTGGTATAGAGTTCCAGTGGGTTGTGACGTTTGCTTAATTGAATTTTTTTATAAATAATGTTAGTGATGTGGAGTGCTGACTCACAAAACTAATAAAATTTTGAATGCAAAGAACAAAATGACTGTTTTGTTATGCACTTCACACATGTATTACCGAATTGTGTAAATTAAAGATTTGTAATATCATTGTTTAGAAAGTGGAAGGGTTTGCGACCACTAATTAATTACCCTTTGTTTGAGATGCATACAGAAAAGTTCGATTCTTGCTGAGCAAAAAGGGTACATTCATTTCACTTCGTCGGGGGTTCTCTTCCCTTTCAAAATTGTCGTTCTTCCTTCCTCACGTCCCCGGAGGAGCAGCCGTTTCATGCAAACCCATCGGCGATCCTAATCACTTGTCGCCGCACCGCCGCTGTTCGTTTCTGGCTCCGGAATGGGAAGACACAGTTGGCTCAAGCTAGTAAGTGAAAAGGATTCGCAATGACAACACTGTATTTTTACCGATTGAAACAATTTAGCTGAGAAATTCTCGATGCCCTACAGTGCCAGCAGCATTTGTTGTCATCCACGGCTGTGAAAGCCGCCGGGAATGGAGGATATAGGCTGCGTAGAATCACGACATTATCCCCGTCTGGTCTTCCTTATCACGGTTAGCACTAAAGGAAAGCTGATTCAGTTGAATTATTGTTTTTCAATGATCTCCCATTCACAAATCCTTGTTGTTTACGATCTTCTCGTCTCATAAGTTCTGCAGAGGTATACTTCGAGTGGAAGGCCTACTGGCATTGGAATGGTGGAGACGTTTTGGTGCAGCTCTCTATGTAGGTTCTTCTACTTCCGGAACTTGAATTTTGTGGGTTAAATTTCTTTTCGCTTTGCCAGGATCCCTTTATGCCAAGGAACAAAGCTATTATGAAGTTCTTGGAGTTCCTGAAAATGCTAGCAAAGAAGATATAAAACGAGCCTTCCGTTTGGCGAGTGCACTCATGAGTTGCGGTGGGTTGTGTTCTACTTGAAAATGGCTTGAGGTTTTGTTAGGATTGAACCACTTCGCTTCATTCCTTGCTCTGATCTGCTTGCTAATTAGTTGCATCGAATCATGATCACTTCTATAATATTGCTACTAAGTTGCATTTTGGAGCCTAAATGCTTCATCTTGATATTGGTTCAGCGAATGACTTATGTATATGGTTAGCAAACCCTTACGTAAATTGTATATGAATTTTGCTAACTCTATCAACTAAAAGTCTATAACACCTTAAATAATGAAACATCTCATGGGGAATTTTCAAATGGTCAATCAGCCATGTTAACGTGATTAAATTTATCCATTTATCGTACATGCAGTTGGCGAAGAAGTACCATCCTGATGCAAACAAGAACAATCCTTCTGCAAAAAAGAAATTATTAGAGATACGAGGAGCCTACAAGGTTCATAATATGCACTATTTGAGTTACTGCATTATCCTTACCATTCTTATTTCTTAGCACTCTGTGGGTAAAATTTATCATTGATGGGTTGTAAGTCTTGAATGAGTCTCTGTGTCACTTTGAATATCTGATAGTGATTTGTTCCTTTTGCTCTGATAAATCTTAGACTTTGCACGATCCTGAGAAGAGGTCGCAATATGACATGGTTAGTTCTTGGAGTCTACCTTCATGATAAACTGTATTTACTATCTTTTCTATCAGACTTACCCTGCTCCCCGTATATTGTATTAGAGTTTGTTGCTGTATACTTAGGCAATGTATTCAATTCCCAGCTTTTACTGTGTTCCTTGTTCCCACCTTTAGTTCTCTTCTCAAAGTGTTTGCTTGCACCTGATTAGATATTGCTGCTCGTCTGGTTCTGGCAATGCACAGGGGTTTAATGATGCAACTGGATTTGGATATGGTGCTAGCAATGCAGGGAATTTTAGATCTTCTTACCATAGTAATTTTTCAGATACATTTCGGAAAGTATTCTCTGAGGTATTCTGCACTCTAAGCTGAAATCTGGCACCTCCTGATCTTCTTTGACTACAAGATCCTGAACTAAAAGAACAAAATACTTGAATAATTCATCAGATCATCTTTGAAGTGGAGAACGATCAAATTTCCTCTGACATCAGGTATCTTGCTTTCTCACTTGCATCCAATGCTTATTTCAGACCGGTCTATTTCTCCAATATCATCCTTTTCTTCTTTGATGTTTTTCGTTTCACAATCTGATACTTCGTAGGCAGAGGTAGTTCTTTCTTTCTTTGAAGCTGCAAGTGGATGTACAAAACAGCTTTCATTTGATGCGTATCTGGCTTGTGATTTTTTTTTTTTTTTTTTTTGTGAAGGTGAATAATCATTAAACAGAAAATACACCAGAGGTGTATGGAAAGAGGTTCAGAGTACAAAGAAATCGAGAAACAAACTGCAGCATCCCGGTAAACAGACTGGCTTGTGATTCTTGTGGTAAGTTAAACTGGTACATTCAGAAAATTCGAATAAGAAAGTCTTTGTTTGTTCCTTTTCTTTTTGCTTTTTGACCTCTGCCTTGTTTTATGGTTGTTCGTCTTTTTCCACTGAGTTTATATCCGAATCTTGGTAGTATATTATACAATAGGTCTTTTCTTAGTTATTGGAAGGGATGTTGGAGTTAGAACTAAAATGGAATCATTACTGGCAGTTCTGTGTTTTTTTGTAAAGAATCCATGACCTAGTTTTATAAACGGAGGAACTCATGTGACAAGCTGATCAGCTTTCGAGTCTGTAACGTTCATAAACAGTTTAGACCAATAACTCGAGTTGTTGGAAGAAGGTTAATTATGAATCTTATACTACTCTCTAACATGCCCTCTCAAACAAAAGTCAACTCAAGAACTTGAAATTTGCATAGATTCCCCACCTTTTAATTAAATCAACTATTGATATGCCTATTCACACTAATTATTGTTAATGGATATATAGGTGTGGATTCGGGAGACACAATTCGTGTTCCATCAGCTGGTAATTTTGGGGGACGAGGAACTCAAACAGGCAACCTGTTTATTCATATAAAGGCACAGGCTTACTGCTTACTGATTCACTTTTTTCTCTGCCTGATTGTCACAGGAGATAATTCATTTATCAAGACGAGCGTTTCTGTCTCGAACTAGAAATCACGAAAGCATGTGATCACAGGCCTTAAATTGCATCCTAGAACCCTAAAAGTTATAGCTTCTGAATTCATTTGAAATCTCTGATGAAGACTGAGCTTAAGTCTGTTATGCTAGGTGCCAGACATTCAAGTTTCTGATAGGGACTTGATGAGTCTTTTTTTTTTTTCTGTTAGTATTTATGTTTGCTGACAAATGTTTCTGTCCGAGAGATGGTTATTCTCCCTGTACCCATGTTGTACTTGGTGATTTTGACCCCTGAAGCTTTCTTTCTCCGGATGGGTTATGTGTTTATCTCAAAGGAAGGGACTATCGGAACTTTCAACCTGTAGACTGCCTACACTTACTAGGTTAACTAGCACCAAAACTGTTGTACAGTAGTGTTGTGCCTCATGACTAACTATTGAAAGTTTGCCTAGGATTCTTATATACCCTGCTGAAGACCTTTGGTTTTGCTGTTGCAATACAAGTGGCTGATGATCCTCTATTTACTAGAGACGGAGCTGACGTTTATGTGGATGCTGATATTAGTTTTACCCAAGTGAGTCTTGCTGAACTCTTATCTGTCTAAGCTGAACTTGATCTCTTAAAAAGTTTAGTTTTGGGGTGAAGATACGATGCCATGACATTATATGTCTCTTTTTTACTGGCAATTCTGGGTGGCAAAATTGAGGTGCCAACTTTATCAGGGAAGACACAAGTACAAGTAACAAATTGTTGCCTTAGCTTGTCCTTAACTTGCTTGCTTTCAATATTTTCCCTACAATCATGTTGAAGTTGAGGAGCTTGTATTGTCAATTGTCATATATGGTAACTTTCTCCTACATTTGTAAATGGTACATCCTAGAGATGTGCAGCTGACTTACATTAGTAGCTGTTGGAAATAGAAAGCTGCAAATTGGTAGTATCTGAAGGAAATGTTCTATTATTTCCACCGGAAACCTACGTTGTGCTTCAGATAATTTCAAATAGTATATGTTGATATTTGTGCAGATACTGGATTTTTGTATTTCTTGCTGTAAGTTTGATTTTCCCCTTCAGTTGCGCATATGCTCTAAGCTTCTGTTTTGTTCTGAAGGACTGCTTCGGCATGGCTTTCTTGTCGACCATGGAGATCAATATCCCAATGTAAGCGAATTTTGCATGATAAGCATATTGAGTTGTATGTTTCGATGGAAGAGCGTAGTTGTGGTTTGCTACTTAATGACCCTAAACATGTTGCTGATTCCTTTTTCAAAGGGAACTAAATGAAAGACAAAGAGTTATACTGGAAGAGTTTGCAATGGAAGAGATAAAGCATGAAAATGAGACTTCCGCTGAAGGAGATTGGTAAGTTCATTCTTCATATCTGTTGATGAATGCATATGATTTGTTTTGTATTCTCTTGCAATGAGATGTAGTTGGTCAGTCTGGGTATTTACGCTAATGACAAGCTCAGTTCAGTGAAGCCCAGTAAAAAACCTTGGCATGAAATGATTAACAGTTTGTTTGTTATAATGCATGTTTGGATGGTCTTTTGACAAGGGATTTGTCGTCAATCCCAGAGTGCTTTTCTTTCTAAATGCGTGAACAAGTTATGTCCCTTGTTATCACAGAAGCTTATACAATAGATGGGAACAATTGAAATATACACAGAGATGGTAACAATTGAAATATACAAGCTCATGGGGTAAAAAAAATTCAAATCACATTATCCTGAAACCACTTATAGTCATTTATATAAAGTTTCTTCGAGTCATAATGATTTCTCCTCTGTTCCATGAATCACACAAATTGAACATGTGTTTTTTTTTATTCCCCTGGCTAGACATCCAAACAGAGTGTCATGTGCATTTATTTAATTTTATTAGAAATTAACGAGGGGTGTAGAAGTGAGATTGTGACGTGAATTAGTGGTGTTAGTGGTTGGCTAGAATTAAGGGAATTTAGTTTAGTGATAATTGTTTTGGTATTTTCCGATTAGTTTGCTAGGTTATAGGGTTATTAGTTTTATGTTCTCTATTTAAAGAAGATGTACAGAGGAAGAGGTATCAATCACGTATAATCAGAAAATGGGTTTACACACCTACGTGTTAATTTGGGAGGTTGGCTTTCCTCGAAAAAAACTTAGGGGTTCCGTTCTCGCCATATCTTTTCTCCATTCTAATTCTTCCTATTCCGATCTTTCTTTCTAAATCGTATTCGTGCAAAAAGGGCACATAACACAGAGTCAACGAGTTACAACAATTTCCGCAGTATGAAACCAGGGTTCTTGTCATTGTCTATGGCGCAGAACTTTTTTCGACAACTCGTTTATTGTACAAGGCAATGCTTGTCTTTAGTTGCATCATCTTTGTTGTGTTTCCTTGGTTGACGAATCTGTAGAATTCACCATCTTCAATCGCATATGCATTAGATTTGACTGCTCCCGTGTGAGGCAGCTTCAGCGATATTGCTTCTGACTATTAAAGACACTGATCTGGACAGCACAGGCTATATCAGCAGCTATCTACTGGTTGAACATGCCAATAGTGTCCTAGATTCATGCTCAGAGTTTTCGGTCCTCATTCTAATCATCAGGAGTACATTGGGCTGAAAAAGTCTGCCAGCGGACATGTCAGGATGTCAAATTTCGCCCTGACCTGTTAGTCAGTGTACCGTTTTCAATATTCAGGGAACCTCATTCGGTCGCACGAAGGTATCATTCTTAAACTTTTGTGACTAGAGTGGAAATGATTGAGTAGCTATTGACATGTTTTCTTCCTTCTCCACTGGGTGCAAATATGAGGTCGTAGTCGCTGTTTGTGGGTCACAGCAAGGATGAACTTTTTGACTCTCTAAGACAATGGTCTCGTGGCTGGAAACGAAGGAAAGGAAACGCCACTGTGTTTGTGGACTAATGAAGGAAAGGAAACGCCAAAAAAGCATATACGCAACTCGATTGCATATTAGAGACGATGGTTGTCAAAAGAAGTTTCGACTCCTCAAAGGTACAGGAATTGATATTAGTATTTACTTTATGCTACAAGTTGGTGCCGTCATATCATCCATCCATTCTAAGCGGTTTGGCATAGTAATTACTAATTGACAAAAAGAGTGACAATTGCATGTTTGTTTACATGTATCTGTTAAGAGAACCAGAAGTCAATATTCAAGAGCGTTGATATGGACGACTACGACTCTTTTGGAGTATGGTCGTGACGTTTGTCTCCCGTTCCGTGGAAACTTTTGACTAGTAGCGTCGGAGCTATGCTACTTCTTTAGGGTCGATTGGATTGGGATTTTTTTTTGTCAGAGATAGTTTGTAATAGATAGTTTGTTACAATGCATTGAAAATATAAAGGCGGTAGTCAACCAACTGGGTTGCTACCGATGCAAGGGCCGTTTGCGCCACGCGATGGGCAACCCTGTTAGTACTACGAGGAGTAAAAACAAATGAAACAAATGCAAAGGAGGACTTCAGCATGCGCACTTCATCCAGTACAGCTCCTCCTCGATCATGGTGTATATTGTCCTCCATCGCTCGGGGTATAACCAATTGTGAGTCCCCACAAAAACAAATAGAGATATGACCACAGTGTAAGCTCCATATCATTGCATCCCGTAATGCTAATAATTCAAGCAAAAACGGATCCGAGATGCCATCATAGTACTTACCGTAGGCACAGACAAGCGATCGATCCCCAGCGAAACCGACGAAGCCAATGTTGCCACCCACACCCTTCTTTGTAGCCCCATCAAACCGGATGAGCAGACCGCCTGGAGGGCAGGTGGGGGAGGGAGGGGGGCGCGGAGCTGCTTGCACAGATTGAGGTTGCGATGCCGGGGCTGCAGTAGCTTCTCTCCATTCAGTAACCTGATTGTTAAACTGGTGAAACAAAGGCCCGGGTAAGTATTGGATATTGTCATAAGTGGTCCAACACCTCCCTTTTCAGATCCTCCACACCAGGAACACCACTTCTGCCATGTCAAGTTTGGTTAGCTGCATAGAAAAAAATAATTTGTGCCAGGCCAGGTCATTGTCGACAGCAGCCATGGCTGCTCGGATGTGATCTTTCCCAGCTAGAGCCCATATACCTCGAGCAATCCTGCAATCAAAGAAGCAATGTGAAATGGTTTCTGCAGCTGCTGAACAAACATGACAAAGGTCAGTATCACTTAAAGATTTCCTTGGCATTATCACTCGCATAGGCAGAAAACCACGAACAGCACGCCACAGGAACACCTTGAGTTTTGGTGGGATGGGAAGGTTCCACAAAGTTTTCCAGAACTGAGAGTTTAAGAACGGTGGCAGTGGATCAAACTCAAGATGCCGATCAGTGGAAAGCAATTGATACCCAGACTTGACTGTGTATTGCCCCAGTAGCCGAGTAGTGCCAAATTAGCTTGTCCGGCCGAGGCGAAGAAGGTAGAGGGATAGAAAGGATCCACTGGACACTATCTGGTGTGAAGGTGGCCTGCAGCAGCTCTGCATTCCATGTTCGAGTGATTGGGTGGATAAGGAAAGCGACGAAAGGGTTCCCCAATGTTGCCCCAGGAAGCAAAGAGGGCACAGATGGAGGAGAAGAAGGCAACTAAGGGTCCACCAAGGTACGTACCACTGTACCACACCCAACCTCAACCTGCCACCGCAACCCCCGCTTCAACAGTTTCCGCCTTTCTAAGACACCTTGCCAGGCCCACGAGGGGCGAGAACCAGTAGGCGCATTGAGGAAATCACATGAAGGGTGGTACCGAGCCTTATACAACCGAGCAAGGAGAGATTCAGGAGCCAGTAGGATCTTCCAAGCTTGTTTTGCAAGCATTGCCACATTGAAAATATCAAAATCACGAAAACCCAACCCTCCATGGAACTTGCTTACGCATACCGCTGACCAGGATATCCAATGCAGCCCCCTGTCTTTATCCTGTCCAGCCCACCAGTATCGACTCAATTGACTATTCAGACGGTGGCAAGAGGTAGAAGGGATCCGGAAGGAGAACATGGCATACACCGGGGTGGCCGAACCCACTGCCTTGATGACCACCTCCTTAGCTGTCAATGAAAGCGATTTTGAGCGCCAACTTTGAATCCGGGCAGCGAGATTGTCTTCCACAAATTGAAATGTAAGGACCTTGGAACGCTGAATCTGAGCTGGAAGACCAAGATATTTCTCCATAGAACCAATGGAGGCAATCCCAAGCAAATCTGCTATGGCGACTGATTCCCGTTCAGACATGTTTGAGCTGAAGCAAATGGATGATTTCTGCAGATTTATTCGCTGGCCGCTGGCCTCTTCATATAATTGCAGTAAATGCAGAAGCTGGTGGCATTCAGTTGACGTTGCTCACAAGAACAAATACGTGTCGTCGACGAAGAAGAGGTGTGAGAGAATCGGGGCTGATCGGTGGATCTTCAAGCCGTGAAGCTGCTGGGAAGTCAAGGTATTGCGGAGCAATGTAGAAAACGCCTCAATATAAACCGCAAATAATAGCGGCGAGAGTGGGTCTCCTTCGCGAAGACCGCGCTGAGGGCGGAAGTAACCGTGTTCGTTCCCATTAAGGAGGACAGTGAACGAAACCATTGTGACACAAGCCTTTGTCCACTTCATCCATTGGTCGTTAAACCCCAAAGCTTCCATAACTGCAAAGAGAAAGCCCCATTCAACCCGATCATACGCTTTTTCCATGTCGAGCTTTAGAGCCATCCACCTATCCCGATCCTGAGATTTTGTTTTCAAGAATTGCATCACCTCCTGGGCTATTAGAATGTTATCCGAGATATCACGACCTTTGATGAATCCATTCTGAGTATCAGAGACCACAGAGGGAAGCACAACAGCAAGACAAGATGTCAAAACCTTGGATATGATCTTGTAGAAGACCTGGCAAAGGCTAATCGGGCGCATCTGACGCATACGGTCGGCATTGGGGACCTTCGGGATCAAAGTGATGATGGTGTGGTTGAAGTTGTGCAACAACCTTCCCGTTCTGAAAAAGGATAAGGCTGCCCTGCAAACGGAATCGCAATGATGTCCCAATAGTTATGAAAAAAAGCTCCTGTCAGTCCATCGGATCCCAGAGCCTGTCCCGGTCCAATACTGAAGGCGGCTGCTCGAATCTCCTCCCGAGTCACAGCTGCCGAAAGGAATGCATTCTGTCCAGCTGAGATTTTAGGTTGAATGCCCAGTGCATGGACAAGGAAGAATGGAGAGTGCCCATTTGAAAGGAAAAGAGACTGGAAGAAGCCCACAGATATATTCCCTTTAGCAGGTTCATCAAAGTGAGTGTTTCCAGAGTCATCCCGAAGCACTTCTATTAAGTTGTGACGACGCCGCTGCATAGTGGTGACATGGAAGTACTTGGAGTTAGCAT